TATTACATCAGGCTATTGGTTTGTGGATACACTCCTTACCATCCGCTGCCCTTCAACCATCCTTCCATCTGTGGAGTTCACTATCCAGACTCCCCAAAGCCATCTCATAATTTCAGTAAGCAATTTCCATTATTCCTTTCAGTATGTGACTTGTGCCAGTCTTTCAATTTGTGCCATACTACCCCATGGAATTCTTAGAATATGGTGAATGTGGTTTTATCGATCTAATAAAGCATTGGATTCGGACATATTGACTGTTGGTTGTGTATGTCATTGCATCATCACTCTGGCTTTCACCACGAGTGCTCTGTTTTTCTTGGTTTTACTGCTTTAAGGGTATGTGTATATACAGTATGCACACTTTTTCACATTACATTTTATATGCTTAAAGTGGTAGTAAAGTCTGTTTGCTTATCTTGTACCTACAGGTAAGCCTATAATAAGGCTTACCTGTAGGTGCTGTAAATATCTCCAAAACATTCAACATTTAGGAGATATTTACTTGTGTAGTAACCAGTGACATCACTGGCACATGAGCTTTGAAGGAGACGCAAACCATGCTATTCCTTCAGAGCTGTGTGCCATAAACAGTGACTCCCTCGTACATGTGCAGGAGTTATGTCCTCAGGCCCAGCCATTCATGCCGCTGGAGCCTGTGAACCTGGAAGAAGGACCAGGTGAAGATGGAAGCCCTTTCAGCAGTGACAGTGTGCCGCTGGAGGGCTTTGTTTTAAGGTAAGTTTCACATAATGTGCTAGTATGCAGTGTATACTAACACATTATGACATTGCCTTGCAGGGGAAAAGCTTTTTTTTTTTCTTTTAATTTCAAGATTACTACCGCTTTAATGCTAGGGTTACTGTTTTCAATTCAGTAGTATATTTTATCAGTGAACTGTGCAGCTATCTGTGCTATTTAGAGTTGACTAGTGTTCATTTAATTGTACATATTTTTTCTAAGCAGTTTCTTGCTAGTGTGGTTGTGACAAAAAATCACAGAAACATTCGGTGGAACTTGTCAGAAGACTACAGGAAATTCAATCTCATTTCTCCCCATATCTCCATGTTTAAATGGGACCCCAAATCCCTCCCTTTAGACAGATAATGGCCAATAGTGCTGCCTATAGATCCTTTGCCTGAGACTAATAAGTCACCCTATAATCATGCCATATTTTCATTAGCCAAGGCCTCTATTTACTATAGCTCAAGAAGGGCTTCATAACTATTGCTATTATGGGCCACAGAACTCACTTCTGTGGCATTAGTTTCCCACACATTTGAAAGTGAACAAATTCTTTAAGTAACTGTCATGAGATCTAACATGCCAAATCTGTAGGAATTCTGCTGATTTCACTTATTGAAAATGATTCTGTCATGCATAAAATACTTCTGCAACCTTGGATTCATATGCATAGCAGCAAAAGTTGAATAACAATCCTTAACATCAATAACCTTCAAACCCAAAGGAAAGAAAAACTGGTGGCAATAATACTTTCTATGAAGGCTCTAATCTGCCCTCTTGTGCGAGGGGGCTGGCCTGAAAAGCAATATTACTGCTGATCTTGCACCATAATAGGGCACATGCAAACATTATAACCTTAAAAATTTAGAACCCAGAAGTCTGAGGGTCACTAAAACAAATACATGTTAGCAGCAATACCAGAATTTTATGAAAGCACTTAAATCTTTAAATATACTTATATTCATTTTTAAATATCCTTGCTCAGCTGAATTTTCAAAACTCTAAAAGTTATATTTTTCAGGTATTTGTAGTTTAGAAATGTATGAGAAACATCTTAAGATATTAGCTTTAAAATTAGTTAAATCTCTTTTTAAATCTTATTTTAAAGTTAGAGATATTGGTTAGCAAGAAACTATATATCATTCGGGCTCTAAATTCCAATTACTGATACAGTAGTTGGCAGAGCTACAGTAGGTGCGGTCAACGATGATTGAAAAGCTACAGGCTTGTGAATTGACAGTGACAAAGCTGATTGCAATACCCCAACAATGCTTTTGCATCACACTGCAGTGTATGCACACAGTCTACAGAAGATTGAGAACACTGCTCTAAATGCATGAACAGTGCAGCAGAGTTGGTTCAATGGTTCCATACCTCTGAAGATGTGCGTGCGCACGTAACGCGTAAGGAGGAGCCTGGACGTCGAGACGCTACGCCGCCGGAAGCCACGTGGAGGCCCGGCGGCCATCATGCAGAGTTTCAGGGTTAGTTTGTCTTGCTGACACATCTTGATGATACCTGCCTACTTTGAATTGGATGCTACTTTTTCTTTAATAAAGCTGCTTTTTATAATCTATTACACTATGGGTGTCCTTCCCTAAACTCCCTTGAGGAGCTTTTGCTTGCAAAACCCTGATCTTGGAATCCTACACCTAACTGGGAAGAGGAGGATCTGTTGCTGCATCCACAGAGGAGGGATCCATTTTTCCTGCAACCGGACCAGCTTTATTCCCTTCTGGATTGAGGATCCATGAGCTCTAGATGCACACTGCGTTTATGTGTCTTTTTTCTGGTGAGTGCGTTTTTCAGCCGTTTTTCCACACGGATCACCAATTTTGAATCCTTACTTGTCACTGGACACGTTCTTATGACCAAGACTTTAAGTGGACTCATATCTGTTTTATTATCACTACTCTTAGCGCTGCACTATTTTTATGTTAGTGCAGCAGAGTTGACACCCCATCAAAGGAAGCTGCATTAGGTGGACTTCGTTGGCAGGATTATCAGATTTTTGTGAGATTTTGCAGGGGGACTAAGGAATAACTAAAATGCTGAAGCACATATTTTTTTTTATATATTAGGTAATATTTCTACTTCAAGGTGTGCATTTATTTAAAAAAAGCATAGCTATCCAGAATTATTATCATACATGTTCAAATTTGACCACATGTATTAGCAATACATTTCAACCTATGTTGTTTGCCCATCAAATGCTGTGGATCAGAAAGGACAAATGCGCTTAAAGCCAGGGTTCTTTGGTCTAAAACATCCTAACTCTGACATATGTAGAAAAACCTAAGAATGCTGGTTGTATTCTATTTATAACCTTCGACACTAGGGATTCAAACCAGTCATCTATGTTATAATTATAACCAGATGCAGATAGTTACAGATTTTTCTCCACTCATGGGGAAACTTACACATTAAAAAGAAACATAATAGGACACAACAATATCACTAGACAGAATGCAGAATACTAGTGTACTGAATATGCATGTTTTAAAAATGTGAATTTGTTAACAAGGTATTTGGTAATACGGATAATACAGCAGAAGTGAAATAGCATTCAATTCTAATAATATGATCCTTATATCAGTTCATCAGGATGTCCATTCTGTTCTGTCCACTGTACTCACCTTGTTTGTGAAAATACAACTTTAATGCCTCATTTATCTCTATGAAAATCTTTTCATGGTTTGAAAAGCTTGATATTTTTTTTCAACCTATGTTTTCAATGATGCTTGCCGCAGTTATCACACTTCATTAAACAACATCAATGTGTCATAAAAACAACAGATTTCACGAGCCCCTTGGCAGCTAGGGTTAATGAAAAATTTGGCCAGCCTTGTAGCACCATGACAGCATGTTTCACTACTAAAAGGGAGATTTGGGATTGAATACAAATGCTGCTTTCAAATGTTGGATGGTTAGAAGGCACTGTGGCGATAATGAACCCTATGGAGTTCTGAAAGCATTTATTCTGTAGGGAGCAATCTTTTTCAAAAGAAAGAAACAATATGTCCAGCGGCCTTTTACGACACAAAGATAGGCTGGTAGCAAGAATGAAAAGTTGCTGTTTGTTCAAAATCCTCTTTTTTTGTACTGCTTTTAGAATTTTTAGGACTGTTAAAACCGGTGAGTCAGTTGTAAAAAATAAAGCGCACTTTCAAAAACGAAATGACTTAAACATAACTCACATGTATACACCACATTAAGTTTATCATACAACTTGTACAGAATACAATATCTGTGCAGTCATTTGGACTCTGCAAAATGTAATAACTGAGGGCAACCAATCCAAACATAACTTTTACTAATCTGAATACAGGAGATACTCAGCTACTATTGCTATGTTGAAAAACAGACACCTTTTACAATATTAAAGTGAAAAAGACAGCATATGTAAGTATAATATATAGTACATTTATTTTTTTGCCAGCATGTATTTGTATTTGTCATCTTCAAACAAAAATAAAATACATTTTGTTAATAATTCATTAATGGTACCTTTACTTTACACATCTGATACTATGGATGCTGGAGTAACAAAGTTACTAAAACTACTAAGAATATATCAGGGTAGCAATTTCAATTTAGTGATATGAGTCTCTCATAATATAATGATAAAAAATGGAGAAAGACATACAGCACACAAGCAGTGTTGCCAACGTTCGGTGACTTTTTTTTATGACCAAACATAAAACATTTCCTGACGAAGCATATTTTTTACTGACAACCTCAAAAATGACATCATTCCTATTAAAAACTAAGACAATTGATATATAAAAAATTTAAACACGATATGTAAACACTGACAATACCCATACCAAGTAATTTGCCTAGTTTACGCCTAAAAAGTCAATGCAGCGTGAGACAATATCAGCACCCCCTGGGATACAGTTCCACTATGCATGCCACAGAGAGATGGTTAGGAACTGCAGGCATACTACAGGAGATGGTGAGATCATTAGAGACTGGAGACATACTACAGGAGATGGTTAGAGACTACAGACATACTACAGGAAATGGACAATGACTGCAGACATTCTACAGGAGATGGTTAGAGACTGCAGGTATACTACAGGAGATGGTGAGATCATTAGAGACTGGAGACATACTACAGGAGATGGTTAGAGACTACAGACATACTACAGGAGATGGGCAATGACTGCAGACATTCTACAGGAGATGGTCAGAGACTGCAGACATTCTACAGGAGATGGTCAGAGACTGCAGACATACTACAGGAGATGGACAGAGACTGCAGACATTCTACAGGAGATGGACAGAGACTGCAGACATTCTACAGGAGATGGACAGAGACTGCAGACATTCTATAGGAGATGCACAGAGACTACAGACATACTACAGGAGATGGACAATGACTGCAGACATTCTACAGGAGATGGTCAGAGACTGCAGACATACTACAGGAGATGGTCAGAGACTGCAGACATACTACAGGAGATGGACAGAGACTGCAGACATTCTAAAGGAGATGGACAGAGACTACAGACATACTACAGGAAATGGACAATGACTGCAGACATTCTACAGGAGATGGTCAGAGACTGCAGACATTCTAAAGAAGAGGATGAGAGACTGCAGGCATAATACAGTTGGGAGGACAGCAAATGTTTAATAAGTCTTTGAAGCTCCTAGCCTGACCAGCCTAAATTCTGAAAAGGCAAAAAAAAAAAAAGAAAAAAGGTTAAATAAACCATGGAGGGCTCACACAGATCTCAACACAAATATATCTATATAAACAGCTGAAGATCATAACTAACAATGCGTCACTCACTCACATGTAATGCCAGCTGCAGCGTCTTCCAGCAGTCTAATCATCATCATCAGCATTGTGTTCACCCGTTCCCGTGTGGAGTGTGCAGTATAAATAAAAAAATAAAAAAACATGTGGAAGACCGAGGGGAATTAATTCCCTAAACAGTGTGAGCATTGCCTAATCTGCAAACAGGGACCAGCGAGTACACTGATGATAATGATGATTAGAGGTCTGGAAGATGCTGCAGCCAACATTTCATGGGAGTGAGTGACACACTGTTCATAATGATCTTTAGCTGTTTCTATAGAGCTATTTGTGTAGAGTCCTGTGTGCGCTGCCTGATATGTTTGATCTAAATGTTACCATACCTTCTTCTAGCAGGGAGCCTGTACTTGGGTATTTTGGATTTTCTGCCTCCCACCCCCATCCAGCCTGTTCCAACCACCAGTATTTTTTCTTCAAATGGTAAAAATGGTGTGTGGATTGGCTAAGAAGGTTGCAGGAGGCGCAGCAACTCATCAACAATCCTTCCCTCCCACACAGATGAGCAGCGCTACTGGTTGGTACACTGCTCACCTTTTTACTGACATTCTGGGGTTTATTTAGTAAAGCTGGAGAGCGCAAAATCAGGATCACTTCTGCATACCGGTAGAAGCTAATCAGCTTTTCAGGTTGTATTGCCAAAGCTTAATTGAACAAGCTGAGGTTACTCGCAGCTTGATTACCCCTGGCTACAATCTATCAACCTGAACTCTACCCATCCTGCTCCTAGACACGAGAACTCTAGCTACCTGAAGACACAGCGACGAGATATGCCACTGCACGCTAGACTATCTGCAACCATGCTTCTAACCACACCTTTCCGCCACTCCGTTTACCTCCCTAAAATGTCTCCCTAACTCCTCCTCCTCATACTGTTCTCCTCCATTCCCAAAATCTCTTCTCTATATCCCTCTGCTTCTCCCAAACATCTATTCATTGCACCCTCACTGCTTCCTTCTCCCCTCTACGGCACCCACCACCTCCTCCTAATGCTCCACTCTCCCACTGACCTGAACACCTCCACTGGTAGACTTACACGCTCCTGCACATCCCGCTCCCATGCCACCTTTCTCACCCTTCTTCTCCTAACCGCCGGAGACATCTCCCCGAACCCTAGCCCTCCACCTCCTCGCCCACTCACAAGACACCCTCCCACTTCCACGTCCTGCCACAACCCCCTCAACCTAGTACCTGTCACTCTGCTCCCCAAAACCACCCCCCCCCAGTTTTCCTGTGTATTTGTGTACTTCTGAACGCCCGATCGGTTTGCAACAAGCTCACCGCCATCCACGACCTCTTTGTTTCCCCGTTCCCTCAACCTCCTAGCGATCATGGAAACCTGGATCCAAGTCACTGACTCCACCTCCCCTGCAGCACTCTCCTATGGAGGTCTCATCTGGACCCACTCACCCAGACCCAACGGTCGAAAAGGTGGTGGGGTTGGTCTGCTCCTGTCACCACTGAGCACCTTCTGAGTCCTCCCAAACCCCCTTCCTATCCTTCTCCTCCTTTGAGGCCCACTGCATCCGACTTTTCTCTCCAACCCCCTTGAGGATTGCTGTGATCTACCGGCCTCCTGGACCCGTATCCCGCTTCCTAGATGACTTTTCCGCCTGGCTACCCTTCTTTCTCTCTTCCGAGCTACCCACCATCATCCTTGGAGACTTGTCCCTGTCAACATCAATACCCCGGCTACATCTCAATTCCTCCACCCTCACTCAGTACATACAATCCACCACCCACAGTCTCACAAAACCCCCTTCCCTCTCTCTGACCACAACCTCATCACCTTCTCTCTCCTCGTCCTCAAATGCCTACCCCCCCAAATGTCAAACCATTACCAGCCGGAACCTACCTCCGACCTGAACCCTGCCTACTAGCTGATCAACTTTACGACAGCATCCTTCCCCTGTCCTGCCCCGACCTGGACACGACTGCCTATACCAACTCCCTGTCATGGAGCTCTAGACTCGCTAGCACCTTTAACCACATGAAGAATCAAACCCTGCCCACTCTCCTACCCTGGCAGACTGATCATACAAAACTCTCAAACGACGCAGTCGTGTGCAGGAGCGACTGCCTGGCACAAAAAACCATGTCCCAACTGACGTTCATCCCTACCAAATCTGCCTTCCACACCTACACCTCCTCCCTCCACGCTGCCAAACAAGCCTACTTTCTGACCCTCCTCTATACCCTCTCCTCCAATCCTCACCGGCTCTTCTCCACTTTCAACTCTACTCTCTCCGCCCCAACCTCTCCACCCAGTACCTCACTCACTGCCCTCGATATTGCCAATCACTTCAAAAAAAAAGATTGACACTATTTGCAGGGACATCGCTGCTGCTCAGACCTCCACCCCACCTACCTCCTCTCACACAGCAACCCCCTCCTGGACACCCCTCCCCCTTGGCCTCACCACTGTTCAGACCTCCACCCATCTAACATCAATCTAACCCATCGAACATCCCTCACACAGTAGCCACTGAGGAGGTCTTCTCTGAAGCCTGCCTCACCACCTGCCCCTTCGACCCTGTTCCCTTCACAACTCCTACGATCTCCCTCCCCCTCCATCCTACGCTCCCTCACCCACATCTTTAATCTCTCCCTCTCTTCTGGCACATTCCCCTCCCCTCTGAAGAATGCACACATCATTCCCATACTTAAAAAGCCCTCCCTGGACCCCACCGACCTGAACAACCTTAGACCCATCTCCCTGCTGCCATTTACATCCAAACTCCTTGAGCACTTAGTCTATACTCGCCTAAGCTCCCACCTCAACGGCACAAACCTCCTCGACCCCCTACAGTCTGGTTTCCGTCCCCTACACTCCACCGAAACCGCCTTACTCAAACTCACAAACGATTTGCTAACCACCAAGGCTAATGACCACTACTCAGTGCTCCTACTCCTCGACCTCTCCGCGGCGTTCGACACAGTCGACCCCCCCCTCCTCCTCAAGAAGCTACACTCCCTTGGCCTCAGAGACTCCGCTCTCTCCTGGCTCTCATCCTACCTATCACAACGCTCCTTCAGCGTTACCTATAACACTAACACCTCCCCCCCACTCCCCCTCTCTGTTGGGGTTCCTCAAGGCTCTGTCCTCAGGCCCCTTCTCTTCTCCATCAACACCTCCTCCCTTGGCCAACTGATACACTCTCACGGCTTCAACTACGACCTCTATGCTGACGACACGCAAATCTATCTCTCGACCCCTCACCTCACCCCTTCAGTCTCTGCCCGAATCACCAGCCTACTGAACAACATATCAGATAGGATGTCGCTCCACTTCCTTAAACTGAACCTCTCCAAAACCGAGCTCCTTGTCTTCCCCCCAGCCTGCGCACCCCCCCCCCCAATGACTTCTCCATCACGTCCAACCATGCCACCATCAAGCCCACCCCGCAAGCCAGAGTACTTGGTGTCATACTAGACTCCAATCTATCCTTCCAGCCCCAAGTCCAATCGCTAACAAAGTCATGCAGACTCCACCTCCGCAACATCGTCAAAATACGCCCATTCCTAACCCCAGAAACTACTAAGCAGCTCATCCACTCCCTCATCATATCTCGTCTCGATTACTGCAACTCCCTCCTCACTGGCCTGCAACAGGCAATCCCCACTTTAGTCGATCCTGAATATGGCGGCCAGACTCATCTACTTTACTAACCGCTCCGTTTCCACCACCCCCCTCTGCCAATCCCTCCAGTGGCTTCCGATTGCCCAACAGATCAAATTCAAACTGCTAACACTGACGTACAAAGCTGTCCATAATTCTGCCCCATTCTACATCACCTAATATCCAAATACCACCCAAAATGCACTTTCTGCTCTTCACAAGACCTCCTTCTCTCTAGTTCCCTGATCTCCTCCTCCCATGCCCACCTCCAGGACTTCTCCAAGGCATCACCCATCCTCTGGAACTCCCTACCCCAATCCAGCAGACTATCACCCACTCTCCTCTCATTTAGGCGCACCCTAAAAACCCACCTCTTCAGGGAAGCCTACCCCTCCCTCTGCTAACTGCCGATCTCCTCCACTCTTCCTACCATGCCATCCCCCACAGCTTTTCCTCCCGTACCACTATCCCCCCCCCCTCCTAGATTGTAAGCTCCAAAGAGCAGGGCCCTCGAAACCCCTCATGTATCGCACTGTATTGTTATTGTACTGTCTCATGTATTGTTCCCCATTGTAATGTACAGCACTGAGCGAACTGTTGGCGCTATATAAATACTGTATAATAATAATAACTAGCAAAGAACAGACCGAAAATAACGTTTTTTGGAAAGAGTGATGTGATCAGTGTGCAGCTGTCTGTATATGGATTTACCTTTGGTGGTATTTTGTTGCCACCAGGTTTTATGTTTAATCTATATTTATATATTTACCTGGGTGCAGCTATACTTACTTATTCATCACTCAAGAGTGATGAGGTCAGTGTGCATCGGTCTGTATATGGATTTTCTTTGGTGTTTCAGACAGGAGTTTTTCAGACAGGCTTTGGAGGGTATGTAAAAAGCTTACACCTATAGCAATGTATTATTCAACTATGATGAAAGATGAGTAGTGTTTTTTTATCTACAGAAACCCCTTCCCTGCATAGGCAGTTTTAAGGCAGTGATAAAGGTGAAATAACCATTTAATGGGCACGGTGGGTGCCCGAT